AACAGAAGGAGACTCTCCCTCTACAGACGACACAGAGACGCAGAACTTTCACTTCCGGACCAGAACCCAAACCCAAACCCAGGATAGAGAGGTTCAGTGAAGGTGGTGTTGAAGGTGTGGAAGTGGATCAGTGTGTCAGAGGAGACTCTGTAGAAGGACAGAGAGCCAGCAGTGTGGTCCAAATACACCGCTGCTCTGTGCGTGGTGGAGGGTGAGGAGATAGAGGGCGGGTAATAAGTGTCTCCTTGTTATTGTGAAGGACAGAGTATTCAACTCCACCATCATCATCAAAGCATCTCAGACACCAGGACTGATTGTGTCCTTTCCTGCTGATTCCTCTGTAACTCACTGATATATCCACTCCTCCTGTCCACTCAATCTCCCAGTAACAGCGCCCAGTCAGACCTTCTCTACACAGCAGCTGAGGACAGTTAAATCTGTCTGGATGATCAGGATATAACACAGAGTCCTTCACATATATCCCCTTCCTGTTGTTGTCAGACAGTTGGATTCTGTGGTTTACCGTGTTGGTGTCGATTGTGAGTTCACAGGAATCTGAAGAAGAGAACGAGACACGATAAAGATGGCGTTATGAAATGATCATCGATGATTACTGACGGACTCAATCAATGGATTTTCATTAACGTAGCCACAAACCATAACAGAAGCAATTTCAAGACACATTTCAAAAGAGCGACAGTCGGTGTTAGAAAGCAGGATTAGTGTAGACCCAGAGTCTGTTCCCCCTGACGTGAAGGAAGCTCTGCGTTTCCTGCTCCAGAAAGGGAGGTCACTCAAACCCGAGAAAGAGGCGTAAAGGCCGGCGTATACTGTATGACTGAATCGTTATGACGCACGACCACAGCTCACGCTTTCTGTGCTCACAAATCAGGGCGGAGCGTTCACAACTTTCAACAGAAAAGCTCCCACAGACGGAGGTGGATTTCAGTTGTCTCGTATTATTTGAGGTGAGTTCTGATTGATAACTCCTCCGTGTGAACGTGAGTGGAGGGGGGTTGGAGGTGTGTCTCTGGAGGAGCAGAGGCTTCAGTATGGAGGAGGCGTGGCCTAACAGCAGTTTGTTTTGGTTTCATGCTGGAGCTCAAGGGCGACATCTACTGGATCAAAAAGTTGAAAATTCTTCCTTCAATAAAATGTTGACTGGGAGACGTGACAGTCGACATTCTCACAAACAGAACTCGTCGGCCATTGTTGTTGTAGTCCACCTACTCGGTCATGACTATCGACTGGATGTGGGTTAAGTCTACGTTTTTAGAGAAACAGCGTTTTTCCAGTCTACACATCGACGGAGAAGCTGCTGTTTAAAAAAAAACGTTTGCACACCCAAAATGACGTTGTCGTGTAACCACACAGCCAAAAGGCAATGAAAGGTTACCGTGTTATTATGATTGTTGTCGTGTAAACGGGGCCTCAGAGTTTGTAGAACCTCCTTTCTGAAACGGGCCCCGGGTTTAGACCGTACAAACATCAATCCACCAAGAGCGAGCGCTCTGCAGCGTTGTAAGGAAACACGTTCTTCTCAACCGGCAGAAACGTCGAGCCGATCTGAGCTCATTGGTGAACAAGCAGCTGACGTGACCGGATGAACCGAGAAAGATAGACGAGAGATGGGTTGAGACAGAGCAACAACAACACAGCAGATAATACCAAGCTATGGCTCCAGTGTCAATGATTATAGTATAAGTGTGATGTAATCAGGAAGTTTATTAACAATCATTTAATATTCAAACAGCTGTAGTGACTCATTTGAAATACGCTGTGAATATGTGACAAATATTTAAAAAAAACACTCACACTTCAACCTGGTGTCAACCACTGGATTCCAGTAGGCTCCAACTTGAAAGAGAGGGGGGGGGGCAGATTAACACATCCTCTGTGACCACAGAACATGGACATTACGTCACTCATATTAAATATATTCAACCAGCCCACTTCTCCCTCCTCTCATTAGACACTGACTTCAGAATGTGTGCATCATCTGTAACTTTGTAAAGACGAGGAGTCGAGCAGTCGAGGAGGCAACAATAGTTTAATCATGGTGTTTCCTGCTGTCATTCCAAACTTCTTAACATGTGTGGGGAATAACACGATCTGTATGCCTTCTTTGATTGTGCCTATGTCTCCTCCTAACAGCAGCCTGTTGTGTGTAACACTGGTCGATTAACACTTTCTTTTCAAAGGTGTTAAATTCAGACACCGTCACATATTGCATATTCATTAAGGCAAACGTACTAAATGGACAATGTGTGTTGTTTTGCTCATAAAGACACAATCCCCACTGCACGCTGTTAGCAGATCAGACAGCACATTTGTTTGCTAGTGGTATCAAGTTTGCACAAGTTTTAAGACACGCAAACCTTTAGTAAATCAGGCCCATAGAGTCTTATTGTTAGATACAGCCAGAACACTCGATTTCTCATTAATGAAGGCTGTCCATGTTTCGGCCTGTGTTTGTGCTCATGCATGAACTGTACCTTTCTAATAATCATAATAATGTTTGTTTATATTTTTACTCATAACTTCTAAAACTAAACGCTCATAGTTCAGTGTTTTACCCTCGTGTGTGACCCAGACAGACAAAGATCTCATCATACCTGAGAGTGTCCAGCTTTGATTGTGAATTCTGTAGACCAGTCAACAGCGTTAATCCTGTGATTCCAGGATGATTGTAGCTCAGGTCCAGCTCCTTCAGATGGGAGGGGTTTGAGGTCAGAGCTGAGGCCAGAGATCTGCAGCCTTTCTCTGTGATCAGACAGCCTGACAGTCTGCAGACACAAAAACATCACATGTGGGAGGTCATCAGATTTCCTCTCCATAGAAAAGATTATCCTGACTCTATAACTACTGCAAGTGCCATCAATGAAATGGGACCATAAATGTCGACCTGAAGAGTTTCCAGTCTGCAGTGTGGACTCTGTAGTGTTGTAGACAACAGCTGCACTCCTGAATCCTGCAGGTCGTTGTTGTTCAGGTCCAGCTCTCTCAGACTGCAGGACTGTGTGCGGAGGATTGAGGACAGAGCTCCACAGCTTCTCTCTGTCAGGTTACAGCTACTCAGCCTGGGGGAGAAAACAGTATGAAAACAAGTTATAAATATATATGTTATAAATCTCAAGCCTGCAGCTTCCCTGAGCGAGAAGTAGGTGGAGTCACTCAGTGTCATGACCAAATATAAGAAACAGGTGATCCTTACATGTGGGCATGTCACCCGCTGTCACTCTGCAACCATGTTTCCACTGCTCTGCAAATTCAGTTTGTTCATGGCTGTAAATTCTGATTTAGCCTAATCCTGTGAAGCTTAGATTCCATATAGCGCCCTCTGCTGGTGACAGAGAACTGCTAGTGTAATACAATGAAACTCAAATGAAATGCTATTTGAATGGTGAAGAAATCGAGTAATATCGGCGCATATCGGAGATAAAATTAGCCGATACTTATAGTCACTGGACATGCTGATATTATCGACTGGCCGATATTATCGACTGGCCGATAAATCGGGCAGGCTGTTTGATGTCATAAGGTCAATGTGTGATGTCATAAGGTGGATATTACTTTGGACTCGTCAGCTGAGCTGTCTGAGAGTTTGTTAAAGTGAAATGAAACATTCATAATCGCAACAGGATTAACGCGTTAATGCTGGCAGAGTTTTTTCACAAGTGGTAGACTAGTTTGTTTTCTGTTGAAAATAGCAGATCATTTATAGATGAATAAACTTACAGAACTTTCTGGGAGACTTTGATCACAGGCAGCAGCCTCAGAAGAGCCTCCTCTGAAGCAGAGTATTTCTTCAGGTCAAACACGGTCAGATCTTTTTCTGATGACAGTAAGATGAAGACCAGAGCTGACCACTGAGCAGGAGACAGTTTATCTGTGGAGAGACGTCCTGATCTCAGGGACTGTTGGACCTGCTCCACTAGAGAACGATCATTCAGTTCATTCAGACAGTGGAACAGATTGATGCTTTTCTCTGCAGACAGATTCTTACTGATCTTCCTCTTGATGTACTCGACTGTTTCCTGATTGGTCTGTGAACCTCCTGTCGATGTCAGAAGGCCTCGCAAGAGAGTCTGACTGGTTGGCATTGAAAGGCCCAGGAGGAAGCGGAGGAACAAGTCCAGGTGTCCATTCGGACTCTGTAAGGACTTGTCAACAGCACTCTGGTAGAAGTGTGTCATTGAAGTTTCTCCATTTCCTGTGTCACACTCCTGGGAGGTCAAAAACTCTTCTGACATCAGATTGACTCCAGAGTTGATGAAGGTCAGATGGACATGAAGAGCAGCCAGAAACTCCTGAACACTCAGATGGATGAAGCAGAACACCTTGTCCTGGTACAGTCCTCTCTCCTCTTTAAAGATCTGTGTGAACACTCCTGAGTACACTGAGGCTGCTCTGATATCGATGCCACACTCTGTCAGGTCTGAGTCATAGAAGATCAGGTTTCCTTTCTGCAGCTGCTCAAAAGCCAGTTTTCCCAGAGACTCAATCATCTTCCTGCTCTCTGGACTCCAGGGTGGATCTGTCTCAGCTCCTCCATCATACTTGATGTTCTTCAGTTTGGACTGAACCACCAGGAAGTGGATGTACATCTCAGTCAGGGTCTTGGGCAGCCCTCTCCCTCTCTGGTCTTTAGCACATCCTCCAGAACTGTAGCAGTGATCCAGCAGAAGACTGGGATGTGGCACATGATGTGGAGGCTTCTGGATGTCTTGATGTGGGAGATGATTGTGTTGGCCTGATCCTCATCGCTGGACCTCTTCCTGAAGTACTCTTCCTTTTGTGGGTCAGTGAACCCTCTGACCTCTGTCACCATGTCAACACACCCTGAAGGGATCTGATTGGCTACTGCAGGTCGTGTGGTTATCCAGAGGCGAGCAGAGGGAAGCAGGTTCCCCCTGATGACGTTTGTCAGCAGCACATCCACTGAGGTGGACTTGGTAACGTCAGTCAGGATTTTTGTGTTGTGGAAGTCCAGAGGAAGTCGACACTCATCCAGACCGTCAAAGATGAACACAACCTCTTCAAACCTGCAGATTCCTGCTTCTTTGGTTTCAGGAAAGAAGTGATGAACAAGTTCCACCAAGCTGAACTTTTTCTCTTTCAGCACATTCAGCTCTCTGAAAGTGAATGGAAATGTGAACTGTATGTCCTGGTTGGCTTTGTCTTCAGCCCAGTCCAGAGTGAACTTCTGTGTTAAGACTGTTTTCCCGATGCCAGCCACTCCCTTTGTCATCACTCTTCTGATTGGTTCACCTCTTCCAGGTGAGGCTTTAAAGATGTCTTCTTGTCTGATGGTTGTTTCTGGTCTGTCTGGTTTCCTGGATGCTGTTTCAATCTGTCTGACCTCGTGTTCATCATTGACCTCTCCAGTCCCTCCCTCTGTGATGTAGAGCTCTGTGTAGATCTGCTTCAGAAGGGTTGGGTTTCCTGCTTTAGCAATCCCCTCAAACACACACTGGAACTTCTCCTTCAGGTTAGATTTGAGTTTCTGTTTGCAAACTGAAGAAGGGCTACCTGAATGAAGAAACAACAAATAAGACCAATAAGTTATTCATAAAGAATATGACAGTTAGACTCTTCAGAAGAAAGCAAACATCAACCCTGTTCAGATCGCCATTTCAAGACCGATGTTTACGTCCTTGTGACACTTCACCTTCAATCTGAATGTTGCGGAAGTGACCCCCCTCTGTACCGTCTTCACAGGTACTAACAGTGGTGTGAATGTGAAATCACAGTTCAAAGACTGGGCCACCAATATCACGCCGTCACAGAATCAATATGAACACACAAAGACGGGATGACAGTTGAGCTAAGTTACGGCTCTTTGGTGGAAACCCAATCTGAAAATGGCATGTGACACGTTTCATACCAGCGTTTCCCGCGGCACTTTACAGTCGAGGCGGACGCCTTACCAACATGCACCCTCAGCCTTAACTACAGTTTCAGAAACAAAAAACAAATTGATTGAAATCCTCCTGGTGAATTTCCTGCAGGAAACACTTCTCCCTATACCTCTAAACATCATTAATCCAGCATGTAAAATCTTTTCAGAAATCCTCTTACTCCTCTGCAGCAGGTCGGCCAGCACATCCTCATTCATTCTCCTCAGGAAGTCCACTGTGATCTCTCGAAATGCCTCTCTGTTGATCCCTTCATCCTCGACACCCCTCGGACTCTCAAACATTTCTGGGTGACGCAGATCCTCCTGAAACTTATTGAGCTCCTCTTCCACAAAGTTGATGATGTCCTGCCGGAGAACCTGGAACAGATAATTAAATCAAACTAAATCTTAAAACCAAATATCAGATCCATGTTTGATACATGGTGAATTTCATTGGTCTGAAAGTGCAGCATGGTAATTGTTGTGAACAGATCAGATGTGAAAACAACTGTTGCACATGTACAGACCGGAAACACTTTGTTGAGCTGCTGGACATCCTGGTTACTGGAAACGTTGGAGCTCTCTTGGTTTGGTCTGTGGAGGGATCATGTAGAATAGCAAAGCTCCAAGCAGTGAAGAACACAACGTAAATGTGCTGTAAAATGGCTAAATTACAATTTGCTGTTAAGATTCAAGTCAGAACTCTGATAAGTGCTTCTAATAAACAAGTGTTTTTGCAAAGAGTGTTTCTTTAGGCCCTCTTTAACTGACCCCTAGTGTTTAAAATGGGTACTGCAGTCTAAATTCTAAACATTGTAGAGAGCCCTAAAACGGCCGTGTGGGGGTCGCCTTAAAAGCGCCTACCTTCTCTGGTCCAAATAAATCCAGAGCATTCAGGAGCAGAATCTAAAGTTAGAAGGAGGACATACTGGCTGCTGCATTGTAGTAATATGTAATCTTACATATCGCTCCTTTAAGGTGGCCATGTGATTCAGAGACTTGTAGTTTCAGAATAAATGTAGGAAGTAAAGAAACAAGCAGGATATAAATATACTCTCCATGAAAATTAATTCATAATCTTTGAGTTTTATATATTATGTCATAAACAGCTTACCCATGTGGAAGAGAAGCTGGTTGTGCTTTAAAATCAATTAAGCGCCCAGCTGACATGTCGCTCATTGCAGACTGACAGCTGGGTCCAGGTCCAGGTCCAGGTCCAGGTCCAGGTCAGGTCCAGGTCCAGGTCCAGGTCCAACAGCTGGTTGTCTATTCATGCTGTTAAACACAGAGGAAGACCAGGATGTTAATATTCTCATGTCTCAGGAAAAAGGAGCAGAGATGAAAACACCAAAGTTTAATGATCTGGTTATTTTACATTTAGTGGAATTTGAGAACTGTTGTCCTAAAACTTCAACACGGCCATCCGTCGACCCGTCACCTTTAATGGACTTAATGCCTGGTGCAGGCACAGATCCATGTCCAGTCCTAAACAAGGTTAGAGGGAAAGGGGGGGCGTTGCTTTGGGCTTCAACATAAAACAAACAGCTTGAAGTGATGTTAGTGTTTAGGCGTATAGGGCTGTCAGCGTTAACGACCTCTTTAATGGAGCAGGTCCATAGCTGTAGTAAGGCAATGCAGGAAGTACTTTACCCCTGACTTAGGCCTAGTCCACATGTAGGTGGGTATTTTTAAACGTAGCTTTTTCTGTGCGTTTTGGTCTTTAGAATACAAACTGCATGTTAGGTTCCTGAAAACGTACCTTTCATCAATCAATCAATCAATCTTTATTTGTAGAGCGCCAATTCATCTGTGTTATCTGGAGACGCTTTACTAAAGATCATATGTGATAATATGCAGGAAGGATTTCTCCTTTGTATTCCTCTCGTTCCTGTTGTCCACACTTCCTCCCCGCTGAGGTGGAGGTCGGAGCAGGCCGTAAAACTCCTTCCAGGGTGAAGATGGTCATTGTGCAAC